GAGCATTTTTACTTTCTTGATATTGAACTGTCTATAACCTAACACTTACCTGTTGATTTTCCTTACTCTGATGGCTTGTGCTTTGTTGTGATGCTAGAAACGATACTACAGATACTTAAAATATCAGCAAAGCATTTGACATACTATGATACATGGGTTCTTCCAGACTAAGACAAAGAAACAAGACTGCCATTCACTTCTGAAATAATAGGCCCTAGAGAAGCATATGAGTAGCTGGGGAACTAAGAATAGATTACAGCTTTTATTAGAATGTTCTGTGTTTTTCCATGGTTCAAAATTGGGGGTGGGTATTGCTGTTGAAGCAGTTCCAAGCCACAGTGACCTTCCACTGGGTTCTTCAGGCTGACCTTTCAGTTAGCGCCCTAATACATTGTGTGCTCTACCACCAGTCGAGGCTGTGGCTGACCAAGTTGAGAAAGATCTGTAGCATCTTGCAGCTCTCGTGTGATGAGTGACAGGTTGTTAAGTCTCAAACTCCTACAGTTTTAAGGGTTTGTCTTTTAGTTTTATTTTTTAAATTGTGCAAAAAATTTACTTTTATAATCATCTATGGTCATTTCTTCTAGATCCATCTTGAAGTACAACATTGTGAGTGACAGGATTATATCCATACGCTTACAAGACAGTCCAGTGAATACCACTATCATTCAGATATATGCACCAACAACCAGAGCCAAAGAAGAAGAAACAGATGATTTCTACCAACTTTTACAGTCAGAGATAGATCGAACATGCAATCAAGATGCATTGATAATAATGGGTGACTGGAATGCGAAAGTTGGGAACAGAGAAGAAGAATCAGCTGGAGATAGAATGATTGAATTTTGCAAAATCAATGACTTATTCATTGCAAATACATTTTATAAGAGACACAAACGCGGGTTATACACATGGACTTCACCTGATGGTATGCATAGGAATCAGATTGACTACATCTGTGGAAGGAACCGCTGGAGAAGCTCAATATCAACTGTGAAAACTAGGCCAGGGGCCGACTCGACGGCACAGAACAACAACAACAATGGCCATTTCATTGCTGTTGAGGTGGAACCAGCTCCTAGCTGATCCTGCAGGGAATTTTCTGTTCTTTGCTGTTATTTGCATCAGAGGAGATTGTTCATATTTATCTCTAGGAGTTGCCAGTGGATTTAAACTGCCAGCAAGATGCTGCCTTTAAATTAGCAGCGTGATTCCCTACCAGCTAGGCTACCAGAACTCCCGGGCTGTTCAAATGAACCAATAGATGCATTCTTTCCTATCTGGACCTTTCATGACCTCACGAGGTAAAGGGAATGGCCAGTTTTCGGTTAGTAGTTGATCAGAAACTGTTTGCTCCTCCCAGGTACAGAGGTTAGGATTTCAGCATACGCTTTGGGAGAATGTGACGGTGGAGTCAATGACTTGGTCCCCACTTGTATTCCTATGGCCATCGTGTGGCTCAGTCACTGTGCTTTAAACTATAACGTGGTGAAGCAGTGATGATGGTGAGTCTTGATATTGACAGGGAAGCAGCAGCAGCACCCATTGGACATTCATTCCTTTTGGAACTTGGCCGAAGGTCCCCTCCTTGCTTAACATCATGTTTTTCTCTCGTTCTTTCTCCTATGGTCTTCATTTAGCTGAGGATTTTCTGAAATCTCATTGGAACTTCTGGCAACTGTCTTCTTTGTATGCTTTTGACTGATGACTTCATAAAGCCCCAGGCAGTGGGGCAGCTTCTGGACTCTGTGGCTTCATTAGTCTCCTTGTCTGTTCAGGGCAAGATAAGCAGCCCCAGACAAATGGGACGGCTGTGAGTCTCAGCTCCTTGAGCCTTGGTTTCTTAGGGTTATGTAGGTTGCTGAACTTTTAGCTCCTCTCTTCCTGGCTCCAGCTTCTGACCTTGTTCAAGTGCCTTGTTCTGCTTTCTCCCTGAGTGATTATTCGAAGTAATGCTGGTGTTCCCTGTTACTCTAATTTTATTTATATTATTTTTCCCCCGCTGGATATCACTTGTTCTTTCAGAACATTTTGTTTTTTTCAGTGTCCATGTCTGAAAACACTCGAAGAATGGTACCTTAACACGAACAAAATCATAATGGGGAATGGAGAGGTAGGAGAAGGAAGGAGGCAGACAGGGAGCACACGGTGCACAAGTTGGTTCATCTCAAATCAGTCCTTGTTATGAGGTACTGGATTGTGCAGTGGAGAAAGGCTTATAATTTAATGAATGATCTAGAGAAGGGACAAAAGAAGTAGAAATGAATAAACAGAAAAATACAGTCAGAAGTAAGGCATAGGGAAAAATATTACGGTTCTTTGCTTGACACAAGGAGTCCTAGTAGTGCAAATGGTTAAGTGCCTGGCTACTGGCTGAAGTGTTGGCATTTCTGGAAACTAAGAGATCTTTTTTGTCCCTATCAATAACACGAAGTTGAAAAAAAGAATTATCACCGCTTCACATACCACATATTCAAGTGTAATGTTCTTCATGAAAGCATCCTTGCACAATGACATTTTGATTTGATTTTATACTATAACATATTCTTAACCTAATAACCTTCTTTTCTACGTAAGACACACTTGGTCATTATCCAAGGCACACTTGGTCATCATCCAATGGAAATCTAGGCCTCTGTGCAAAGGTACAATAAACAATAAAGAAGAAGAAAAGACCAAAATGGATGTCAGAAGAGACTCTGAATATTGCACTAGAGTACTGATAAGCCAAAGCAAAGGGGAGAAATCAAGAAGTTAAGGAGGTGAGTAGAAGATTTCAAAGGGTAGCTCAGGAAGATAAGGCAAAATATTATAATGAAATGTGCAAGGATCTGGAGTTGGAAAATCAAAAGGGTCAAATTTGCTTAACATTTCTTAAGCTGAAGGAACTAAAGAACAAATTCAAGCCATGAGTTGTAATGCTTAAGGATGCTATGGAGAGAATATTGAATGATTCAGAAAGCATTAAAAGGAGATGGAAGGAGTATACAGAGTCAAAGAATTGGCTGACACAGAAGAATTTCAAGAAACAACATATGAGCAAGTGACAATGGTGATGAAGGAAGAAGTTCAGGCTACTCTGAAGGACTTGGCAAAAAGTAAAGCCCCAAGAATTGATGGAATACCAATTGACATGTTTCTGCAAACAAATGCTGCCCTGGATGTACTCACCAAGTTGTGCCAAGAAATCTGGAGGACAAACTACTTGGCCAACTGACTGGAAGAGATCCATATTTATTCCCATTCCAAAAAAAGGTGACCTGAAAGAGTGTGGAAATTACTGAACAATATCACTAATATAACATGCAAATAAAATTCTGCAGAAGGTTATTAAAAAATACTTAAACTCTGTATCAACAGAGAAATACCAGAAATACAAGCTGGGTTTAGAAGAGGTTGTGACACTAAAGACATCACTGTCAATGTCAGATGGATCTTGCAGAAAGCAGAGAGTACCGGAAGAATGTCTGTGTTCCATTGACTTTGCAAAGGCATTTGGCTGTGTAGATCACAACAAATTGTGGCTAACCTTGAGGAAAATGTGAATCCCAGTACATTTGATTGTGCTTATGTGACACCGATACTTGGACCAGGAAGCAGCTATCAGAACAGAGCAAGGAAACACTGCATGGTTCAAAATCAGGAAAAGAGTTTGTCAGGGATGAATCCTATCCTCACACATTTTCAATCTGGATACAGAATAGATTATTCAGGAAGCAGGACTTTATGAGGAGGAGTGTGGCTTCAAGATTGGAGGAAGACTCATTAACAACCTACAATATACAGATGACACAACCTTGCTTTCTGAAATGGAAGAAGACCGGAAGCATTTGCTGCAAAAGGCCAAGGGCTGTAGTCTTCAATATGGATTGAAGCTCAACATCAAGAAGACAAAGATTCTCACCACTGGGCCAATTGGCAGCACCATAATAGATGGAGAAGAGATTGAGGTTGTTAGCAATCACAGCTTGCTCAGATCCACAGTCAACATTCTTGGCCTCAGCATTCAGGAAATCAAAAGGCTAATTGCATTGGGAAAATCTGCTGTAATGGACCTCCCCAGAGTTCTGAATAGCAGTGATGTTAGTCTAGAGAAAAATGTTTGCCTAATCCACTCCATGTTCTTCTCAGTTACTTGTTATGCTTCAGAGAGTTGGACAATGACAAAGGATGACAGAAGAAGAATAGATGCCTTTGAGTTGTGGTGCTGGAGAAGTCTTGAACATATCATGAACTGCCAAGAAAACACATCAGTCTGTCTTGGAGAAGGTGAAACCAAGTCTCTTCTTGGAGGATAGGATTTTGAAGCTCTGTATCACATACTTTGGGCACTTGGCTAGGAGAGACTGGTCCTTAGAGAAGGACATCATTCTCAGAGAGACAGCACAGGAGAGGAGACTCTTGATGAGATGGATTGATATTGTATCTAGGTTTATGGGGGTTGGTGTGTTGGAATTAGTGAGACTGGTTCAGGACAGGGCCGGCTTCAGAGCTGCTGTGCATAGGGTCACTATGAGTCACAGGCAACTCAATGGCATATAACAACAATAACATACTATATTGGTTGTTTTTTATTTAAGTCTCATGTTTAGAGTCAATAAGACCTTAGGAAGGGCCTTTGTATTTAAAAATTGGTTGTTAATATATTTTGGAGGAACATTCTCCTAAGTGGCACAGCATATCTGTCAATATGCTGTACTGAGGTAATCTGGGGTTGCTACCATTCTGAACCTTGTGTCAGATTCCATAATACTTACCCATGATGGACAGTGTTTGGTGAAACTCCCAGTGTAAAAGAGGTTTGGAAGCAGGAGTGGCATCTATGTCCTGAAAAGCATGCTCCTGGAAACTGTGTAAACTTTGATAAATACTGATGGTTGGGGAAGGGTTTCAGGCCTTTTGTTTATAGGTCACTATGAGTCATGCTCTACTTAACAGCAATCAACAACAACATGTATATTTTCAGTGAAAGCACTAACACCTATTTGTTTTCTTGGTAGCAAAACTGCTGAGTTCTTGAGCCAACTGAGTACAGAGCTGCCAACCAGAAGCTCCTGTCAGATTGCTAATCATGACCCGCAGGCCTCAACATGGGTAAGTGGAATGCTAAGCAGGGTACTATCTTGAACACTTATTTTTTTTTAATAATCATACTAATGTATCTTTATCTATAACACAAAACGTGTGCCATGTCAACTATTTTGATGTGTAAAATTCAGTGACATTGACTATATTGCAATCATCACATGTATAATTTTCTAAATGATTCCACCACCATTGATGGCCACTCAGTCTGAGAGCTTTTAAATAATGTCTTTATGGAATGAAAATGAGGCCACAGAGTGACCTGTGTAGAGTGCAATAGTAGGATGAAAATAAATGACTTGATGAGAAGCTGTGGCCTAAAATAAAACGTGATTGTATTTTATACAACGGGATTATATTTGCAACATGGACACCTGAATTAACCACAGTTCTGAAAAGCTCCTTTATCTCACTCACAGCCCCCCAAGTTAATAGAATTAATATATTAACAGTTTCTAATTCAGGTTGGCTGCGGGATACAATGTCTCAGTCCAGGCAGCTTCTCAAGCATGGTTTTAGGCCCTTGACCTTTAGCCTCACCATTTAGATCTGTTTTACAAATTGTCCTTGGTCCTGCCAGTTAGGGCATCTTCCCTCAGTCCTCCAACAAGCTTGGGCGAAGGCCCCTGGCTCTGGCTCTATGGGGCAGCCATCCCAAGTCAGCTCTGGCTCCTGTTGGCCTCTGGTTCTCTGCTGAGGCTGCTGTTGCTCATCCTCCACTCCCTTCCATGTCTATGGTGTTTATCAGGGAAATCAAAAGGCTATAATTCACATTGGCAGCTCAGTCAGGACAGCTTCTGAAATGCACCCACATGCACCTCGGCCTTCAGCCCCATGGCTTTAGGCCTGTGTCACAAATCTCTTACTCCTGCCATTATGGCCTCTCCTTCTCCAATCCTCCAACAGACTTGGGTAAAGGAGCCTAGCTCTGGTTCTGTGTGATAGCAGTTCAAAGTCAGCTCTGTCTCATGGCAGATTTCTGGTTCGCTGCCGCAGCTGCTTCTACTGTGAGCCCCAATCTGACTGGTGCAGGAATCATTGACCATGAAGGGTGCACATTCTGCATTCGCTGCTTCTTGGTCGGTGGTGAGATTCTCAATTTATACTGCTGAATCCATTTAATTTAACGGCAAGACTAGCCAATCCCCTTGTGAATAGACCAACACACCTCTTTTACATCTCCCCACCCATTATGTTGCAAAGTCAAACTCAATGACTAGAAAAGCTATTTTGAACAATGAAACCACGACATCACAATGGCCCTGGCTTTTCTAGCCACTACTCTTTTTATTTAAAGAATTAAATTTCCCATCTTATTAATAACTGTGTTTATGAAAGTGTGTAAGCCATCTATGTAATTCATGTTTTATGCCTCAATATTCCCATTTGGAATAGCCAATTTCTAATTTGTCCATCCCTATCAAACCAGTACTCTGAGGAAACAAGCATGTCCCTTTTGCAGAAGAATCTTCTGTTCAGTTTGATAACTTTGAGCATCTGTATCTACAAGCAAAGTCCAGTCCAGAGCAACACTAGCTCACAGGATGAAACATCTTCTTTACGCCTGGTTGGGTTCTGATCAACTCATCTCCAGCCATCCATGGTTAGGTCTAAATGAGCATCAGCTGCAAACTCAGGAGTCCACACTTCTTCCTGCATTCCAGAGCAGATGGTCACATCATTCAGCATTAGCCCCCACATGGGGCCAAGTCAACAAGCTGGGGAGACAAAGAGTTTGAAATTCCATTTCACACACTTTGAGCATGTTGCCAGGAGGGTCCAGACCTTGGAGAAAGACATCATACTTGGAAAGGTAGAGGGTCAGCACAGGAGAGGAAGACCCTGGATGAGATGCACTGACACAGTGACTGTGGCAATGGGGACAGATGCATTAGGGACAGTGAAGTTGGCTCAGGATAGGTCAAAGTTTGTTGTTGTTGTTGTTATGTGCTGTCAAGTCGCTTGTGACTCATAGAGACCCTATGTACAAGAGTCCTAAACCCTGTTCTATCCTGTGCCAGCCTCACCCCAATCATAGAATCGATCCATCTCATTGAGGGTCTTCCTATCCTGCACTGTCCCTCCACCCTCCCAAGCATAATGTCCCTCTCCAAGGACCGGTCCCTCCTTGCAACATGCCCAAAGTATGTCAGATGAAGCCTCAGAATCCTTAAGTTCACGGAGCAGCCCGGCTTCACTCTCTCCAGGACAAACCTGTATGTTATCCTAGCAGTCCATGGTCTATTCAACACTCTTCTCCAGCACCACAGCTCAAAGGCATCAATCCTCTTTCTGTCACCCTTAGTCACTGTCCAACTCTTATTTATTTATAGGGTCACTATGAGTTGTAGTCGATGACACATAACAACAACCGTGATAGAAGCATGTTGGAGAGGACATGAGAGAGGATGTTGGAGAGAGGTGGGAATGCTTATATGCTTTTGGTAGGATTGTAAAGTGGTACGATCACTCTAGAAGACACTTTGCTGTTTCTTAAAAATCCTACACACAGGAACTCCATATGACCCCGCTATTCCACTACCATGAAAATTGGAACTGAGACACAAATGGATATTTGTACACCAATGTTTTTAGCAGCATTATTCACCATTGTAAGAACATGGAAACAGCCCAAATGTCCAACTACAACTCTATGGATTGAGAAATTTTGGTACACACAGTGTACCAAAACACAGTGTTAATACTATGCATCACTCAGAAGCAATGATTTTGAAAAATACTACATAACTTGGGAGAGAATGGAGACCATTATTCTGAGTGAACTAACTCAATCTCATAAGGACAAATACTCATTAAGCCATTATTGTAAAAATAGAAGGATGACTAATAAAACATGTATGGAGACCCAAAGGTGAAAGGAGTGGAATGGGTAGGGCTGAAATAACAGAGTTTCACAATTTTGTAGGTGGAGGAAGGAGGAAATGGGAAAGATTCAATGGGAACCTGGAAAGACAGGGTAATGGTGGGCATAGTCTAATGGTGATGAATTTTTTCCCAGTTTTTTTTATTATTATTTTTAATGAAAATTTACAGAGACTTTGGATTCCATTAATTCATTGCTGCACTTTTCTCCCTGCCCACTCTTCCCCTCCCAGTTCACTCTTATCTTTGTAAAGTAAAAGAAAAATTCTTTCATTGTCTTACAGTCCCACCCCCTAGGTCCACTCCCCTATGCAGCCTTCGCTCTGGACTCCTGTCATGACAATAATACCTAATCACATATTCCTTTTAAATGGTTTTGTCTCTCATCTGTTCAATGCAGTACATATTATTGATCCCATCTTTCTCAGTCTCAAAACATAACGGGAATGTTTGTGTGAAACACAATGTGAATGAATAAGAGTGTGAAACATCGTATGTATGAACTTTGTAAGTAAACCAATATAAAATAAAAATATTTAAAATCTCTAAATAGGCCTTTCATTGGGCAAATCTGCTGTTAATAATGTCTTTAAAGGCTCAAGAGCAAGGATGCCACTTTAAAGACTAAGGTCCACCTTTCCAAAGTCATTGCATTTTCAGTTGGTTCATATGGGTGTGAAGTTTGGACAATGAATAAGGAAGACCAAAGAAGAACAGATTCCTTTGACTTGTGGTGTTAGGGAAGAGTATTGAACATATCATGGGCTGACAATAGAGCATGCAAATTTGTCTTGGAAGAAGTACAACCAGAGTTAGGCAAGGATGGCGGAACTTCACCTCACATACCCTAGAGACCTGTAGTCAGGAGGTGGCAATCCTTAGAAGGACATCATGATGAGAAAAGTAGAGCGTCAAGTAAGACAGTAAGACCTTCAATAAGATGGATTAGAAGAGTGACTGCAATAAGCTTGAGCATGGTGAAGATCGATGAGAATGGCACAGATTGGGCAAAACTTCAGTTGTTTTTCATAACTATGAGTCATAGTTGACTTGAAAGCAACTAATAACAATATGAATTATCTTGAGTTGCATTCATTTTTTTTTGTCTTAAAAAAACCCAAACCACCCACTTACATGAGCACTCAAGGATGTGAGTGAATGTGTGTGTGCACGCACACATGTGTATATAAAAGAAACCAGTTCCTAAGAGTGGTAACACCTGAGCTAAACTATGAAAGCTGAATCAGTAAGGTAGAGATGAACATTCAACATGTCAGAAGAAATCAAGGGACAAAAAAGATAAAAAGACAATAAAAATGAGACTTGTGTTGAAGAACCACAGATTTGTGTAGCTGGAATATAAAATAATGAACTGGAAGCCTGGAGAAGTAGGCAGAAGCTCCAGAGATGGACTGCTAGCACTTGGGTGGGACATTTAGTTGTGTGGATTCTCTTGGGCACTGTTGGTTACTTACCATCTCTATCACCTGGGCACTAAATGCTACTAGCACATTCTAGACTCTGTGACCTAAAATAAAATGCCCCACAAACTTCCCCACAACTTCAATGAATCTGATGGTGCCCTGACAAAACACCAAGGATCTCTGAACTTTTTGCATCACATTGAAGAACTTGGATCTCATTCTTTAAGTACTGGAAAGGTATTGAAAAGTTTTAAACAGAAAAGGTTCAAGGCCAAAAATGTATTCTAGCTAGATCAAACTCATCACATGTGAAACATGGATCTAAAGACATAGAGAAGCCTAGAGGCCTTGAGGGAGTGTAAATATTTGTGTGAAAGATGAAGATTTTACAGAAGGGTGACTAAAGAATAGAGATAAAGGTACATATCTGAATGATGCTTAGAGGGTAAAACGGGCAGGATTTGGTGGTGGTTAGCTGTTGTCACATAGTTAACTCATGCACAATGGAACAAAACAATGCCCGATCCTGTGCCATCCTCTTGTGTACCATCGAGTCAGAAGTGACCCATAGATGACCCTCTGGCCGGTTTTCAGAGGCAGTTAATTGCATGGGAGGAGATTGCCCATCCTTCGCCCGCAGAACGGCTTGTGGCCTTGAACTGTGTCCTTTCAGGATTGCAGCACAGCTTCTTGCCTCTAGGC